GGCAAGTTTATGTTAGGTGCAAGTTTGGACTATGTGCATAGACTTTTTCTGTCTGCTGATTGAACAATAATGCTGTTGTTTTAATTAAGATGATGGTGTTGACACATGGGCTACTTCGCGGTTCGGTGCCGCTAAATATTTGAGGCTCCTTTGACAGGACTTCAAATGGGATGAATTCTAACTCTTCTGTTTATAGCAGAACAGAAACGTTTTTGCCTTCTCCACTCTGGCCTCATCATGATGGAAAGAAGAGTAAAATATTTTGAGATACATTCAAAAGGGTTATCAAAAGATGCTTTTTTTTTGCTTAAAGATTTGGTTCTTTTTTCCATTTGAAAATTTTGTTATATTATTTTGTATGGTTTTGAACCGTCGTTAGTCTTTCTTAATAGGGACCAGACAAGACAAGAGATGCATCTGTGTCCAAAATGAATTTATGAATGGAATGACTAGCGGCAGATTGTGTACCAGTGCTTTCTAAAGAGGGAACTCAGATTCGCCAATTGTCAAACTAGTATTGACCCCATTTTCATTGGAAAATGATGTTATCATGTGATGCAAGTGCTAGTGGAGTAACTTAGAATGATGGGACAAAAACCTATAAGGACACTCAATTCTGTACCTTTTTGTGATCAACTCACTTTCTTTAGTCTCACTTTAGCTTCATAACTTCTGAAACTTTATTTTTTAGGTGATGAACAAAAGGGTACAAAACTAGTGCAACATCTCAATATGGGCAAGGAGACTTGAGCCTTCAAATTTCTCTTAACTGCAACTGAGTTACTTTCATTTTGATTTGGTTGAATGCTACAGTGAAAACAAGAACGTTCCTTCTCTCACACAAGTTCAACCGTCAATTATTTATCTACTCTTCAGGTCATGTTTATTTTTTTTTTCTCCATTAATTTTTACCTCACTAAAAAAAACTTATATTTTTTTAAGTTTCATATTATCATAAAATTATTAATTTATAATATAATATATTATAATTATTTAAAATATGTATATTATTATGTTTTCACGCTAATTAATAATAATAGCAATAATTATATGATAAAAAAAATATATTAAAATCCAGTTAATAATAGACTTTAGTTTACTTTTGACGAAACAAATTATAAGCAGAAGGAATGTCAAATTTCTATCTTCAAAGAATATTTTCTATTTTGTGATTAAAAAATATAAACAAATGTTCGTCAACTTTTGTATTTTAATATAGAACTACTAAAATGATTTCGTCTGGCAAGAACGACAATAATCATTAAATGTAATTTTATAACTATTTTTATAACATTTGATCTTGTAGCTTTCGTTTTCTCAATTTAAGCATAATTCACTTTTAAAACGAAAAGTTAATTGGAAAGAATAATTCCATACTATTATTATAATTTATTACAAAATATATTTCTTGAAACATTATTCTTGCAGACCAGTAAAAGCATATATTTAACTTAAAACCATCCTTCACCTGTCACGTTTTTCGTAGAATCAATTATAAAAATATAATTGATTATTGAATTTGTATATTTTCTCACCAGTAATCCAAACAAACTTACATTCCAAATACAAAAAGGAAATGTAATTAAACTAAAAATACCATCCTGGCCTCAATTTCAAGAGTTATATAACAACATTACTCCAAGATTGTCTCGAGCCCCAGGACCCGTCCTACTCCTCAAGATGCGCTGCAATAAAAAAATTGTCAATATGTCAGCATGTAAAGCATTCAAACGGGGAAATGGCACCCGTGAGCTTATCATTTATCTGTTCACTTAGAATTAAAATAAGCAAATAAAGTAAATCAATGCCATGAACTTATACAGCAGTACAGAGGTAGAAATGGAAGACAGACAGAACTGGATTTCTTTGTGTTAAAGGACAGCGGAAAAAGCCATATTAAATAGAAATGTTCAGGTCAACGCCATAAAGGAATAACCTTTCTGCTAAAACGTCACAATTCAAAGAAATTATAGATTAGTGAGTTTAGCGATACACAAAAAATAGGTATTGCAAGAGCCATACACCTCCTGAGACATAATTTGATACTTCTGCATTGTTTCAGTAAAAGTTTATCTTAAAAAGCAGCACAAAAACACAATACAGGAATTTTACCACCTTTGAAACTACCAGTCTATGTATGGCATATCCTTCCTTATCTTATATACCAAGAAAAACCCAATCACTTGCCACTTAAGTATGCAACAGTTAATTTTAGAAGTCATACCAATTATCAATTTTGATGATCAATGCTTAATAAAAATATAAACCCCATAAAAAATATGTCCTTATTGTAAACGTGAAATCAAATATGTGGTTTTCAACAATATTAATTTTCTTTAGAAATGAAACAGAGCGAGACACAGTTAAGAGAGGCCAAAATTTAGTCCTCATCCAAAATTCTATTCATCATATTACCAAACCATCTTTCACTAAACCAATACTAACTTTATCATTAGAACTCCACTTTTATTTCAGATTGATCTCAACCATGGAAACCAATAAATTAACAATGCAGATATTACACAAGCAGGTATGATATGAGTAATAAGTTTTGTGCTCTATAACAAAATGCAACAATTAGTAGAAAAAACAGCACAATGGTTCAAGATGCAAATACCACCAAAAAAAAAAAGAACTCGTTTGCTATCATTATTTTCATCCAAATTACTGCAACAAATGTTATAAATTTGTGATTTGATTGCAGAACAGTTCCCTACCACACAGTTCCCTACCACACAGCATATATTGCTTCTTAAACTGCAATGGCTGTGGGGAAACAAAGGTCAATGTGTTTTAAGGGAGAAAATTTTTATGAAATAGTCCAGTGTGCTTGGGTTTTCAATGTCAAGGGAAAACACAATAAATTCGATAGATTAACATCTTCCCCCAATAATATGTTAATTTAACATTTTTAATGAAGTTCCCAAATTTTTTCACTAGAACGGAGACCCAGTTCACAAAATACAACAGTGAGTTGCAGAAACTGTTAATGTAAATTGAAAGTAGACGATGAATGTACCAGGCGAGGAAGATCGAGAAGTTAAAGCTCGAGCTTGAGTTCTTCTTTCTCGCCACTGAGAAAATGCAGAACGTACGGGGTGACTCGAATAACAACAACCCATGCGCCGAACATGGCAACATGAGACTTCAGCTGCTTCAGTGCTGCAGCTTTGTCTGGCTTCCGCATGAACATCCCTGGAAACATGATGCCTTTTCCAATCTGATCAAGCTTAAACCCTAATTCTCAATCTTCTATTCTCTTCTCTTCTGATTAGGGTTTCTCTATTGCGACCTCTCTCTTCAAGGTTTTTCCGCCTTTGCTAACCAATAGCTCTATTGGTCCAATGGGTATATACAGCCCATTCAATGGGCCCATTGGGCCATTCAACCCTTTTCTTTTCAATTGTAATTGGTATTTTAGTTTGTACAAAATAAATTTTAAATTCTGTGCAACTATTTCTTTTTAATTGGAAGATTAGGAAAATCATTTTCAAATCACGAGGGACTAAGAAATACATTTTAAATTCAGGACCAAACAAGATTTGAGTTCAATTTGACACTAAAACATCTACTGAAATCTGTGTAATAGAAACCGACATACTCTATTAACCAGGTTTAAAATGTTCATAACATTATTAATTATTATTATTATTATTGTAAATTATTAGAAACTAAAATAAAACATTAAATTTATGAAAATATTTTTCATTAACCGAAGATATGGTTAGTTTGTTTCACTCTTATTCAACTCTTATATTCCATTACAGTGTTCATTATTGTTTTTTCTTTGAAAGTATTGAAAATTTACAATCCATAATTTTATTAATTTTAACAGTGTGTATATAATAAAATACTATTTGAAAATATAATTTTCTCAACGAAATTATATTATCAAATATTATTTAGTATGTAATTGTTTACTAGTATGATAAGTAATAAATAAGACTATATCTTTGTTGGTAAAATCTACATGTATATTTTATTTTTCTTGAACTAAATAAATTTATCATAGGAGATAAAATTTTGCCTCTAGTTATGCAATATGACTTTATATTTTAACTCGATATTGAAATTTGATTTTCTTAAAAAAGTTAAATTACAGAGTATAAGTAATTTGTTAAATTATAAAGATTTGATTTAATGTTTATACTTAAAATGGGGAAAGCCTTTGGTTTTTCTGCATAAATTTGGGCGAATAAAAAAGTGAAAAATTGATATTCTAACTCCCATGGTCAGCTGATACAGTGAGAAAATGATAAATTCGTAAAATAAGCAATGCATATTGTTATGTAGTAAGGATATTTATGTAATAACATAAATATCTTAGATATTTTTAGACAGTTAAAATATCAGTCAAAGCCACTAACCACACTTTTAGGTAAGGTGGTTATTTTTATTTTGCTTATAAATACAGTAACAGGGCCAAGGTCCAGGTACGTTCTCTTTATGCTCTAGAGATCCTGAATAATATTTCAGAGCAGTATCCAATTACTCTCTTCTGAGCTTCAGCTCCATAACTCATATCTGACTTGAGCGTCGGAGTATCTTTGCAGGTACCTCCACGCAGGAAAATGTATACCGAAACACATATCTTTAAATAAGAAATGTTTCAGCAAGGTTTAATTTATCATGTCTGACAAAATTTATTGTGTCCTCCTTCAACAAATATACATTATATTATTCCAGTTTTATAAATTAATAATGTTTCAATATTATTAAAATTAGTCCAAGAATACTTCTCTAATTTACTATATTATCCCATTAGTTTATTTTGTTTTATAAAATTTACTATAATTTTACTTATTTTTCTAATTTGGTGGGATCCACATAACATTAACGAAATTTAGTAATCGATTGCAATGGGATGAGAAAAGATGGAAGTGTTGGTGGTTGATAGCACTGCTTGATAACCATACGGTGTCCGAGAGGAGAGTGTATTGTATCCTGCTTCGCACATACAGAACGTAGAAGTGGGGGAATCCATTAAGCACTCATGACAGGGCAAATTGATGACGTGTAAAGAAAGGAAAGTGAGAGGATAGCGTAGAAGAGTGGGGAGAAGCACAGGAGAAGAAAACCGTTGGCCTCAACTTCACCAAATTACACGTGTCTCCATGGAGCAGAGCAGCCACGACCATAGTCGCAAGTGAGTTAGTGAGTGCGAGAAAAAGGCAAAATGAAGATAAAAATATTAAAAAAGAAAAGAAAAAAACAGAAGCGCAGAAGCACGGTCAACGTTTGTATGTGGTGTTTGCATTAAACCCAATTGCACAGTTTTCTCTTTCACTCTATTTTCAACAACTAAAACCCTATTCATCTCTTCTTCTTCTTCCATTTTCATCACCATCTCTATGATGCCTCCTTCTCAGCCACCCCATTGGGCCCCATCACCATCTCCGTCTGCATCTCCGACCCCAACGCCCACACCAATACTCAACAAATCATTCCTACCACCGCCGTCCAATACGCCGGCGGTTGACTTCAGCCCCCCACTCATAGCAATGGTCGTTGTCGTCGCCGCCGCCTTTCTCGTCGTAACCTACTCTCGTCTCATCGCGCGCCATCTCAGGCCTCCTATCCACCGCCTCCTACACCGCTTCCGCCGCCGGCGATTCCCCCCGTCTTCCGTTGGCGACCTCGAGTCCTTACCCTACGAGTCTCCCTTTGACGGTCCCCGCGTATTCTCTCCATACGGTTTAGACGAAACGGTGATTAAAACGATACCGTTTTCGCTGTACACCGCGAAATACGACGCTCGTTTCGAAGAGTCTCGCAACGACTGCGCCGTTTGCTTGCTGGAATTCGAAGACGAAGAATACGTGAGAACACTTCCCGTTTGTTCACACACGTTCCACGTGGACTGCATCGACGCGTGGCTTCGCTCGCACGCTAACTGCCCTCTCTGCCGCGCAGGTGTCCTCTGCGCCGATTCGCCTTTCACTCCAATGATGGCCGCAAGAATCCGACCGAGCCTCGACGACGACACAATTCTTCACCGCATCAGCTTAGACCCTCTCATCGACCCCCCACCGCCTGTGGCAATATCGTCCGTGCCGGAGATAACACCCTGCATCGACGAACAATCTCCGAGGAGGAACCAGAACCACGCGAACGTCAACTCAGAAGATTGTTTTAGGGATTTTCTGCTGAAGAGATCTTATTCGTTTGGATTTGAACGGAGTGTCGCGTCGGAGAGGATGGTGATGGAAGCCACCACTGCGTCGCCATGGCGATACCGAAGAGGGAGTAATAGTTTCTGGAGCAAGAGGCCTTCGCCGTTTGGTTCTTTGGGGAAACCAAGGGTGTTTTCGTTTCGGTATTACAGAGGGATGAAATCACCGTTCTTCAGGCGGAGGGGATTCTTCCCGCTGTCGGAGTCCAGCGTGAGGTACGGCGGCGGCGGGAGCTCGTCGCGGCGGAGCAAGTCGATTGCAAGCCCAATGTTTCTTCGGTCGTCGGGTCTGGCAGCGGCGGCTTTCTCGTCGAGCCGGCTGAGGTGCGGGGATCCCGAGGCGCTGCTGTCGCCCGAGAGATTTAACCGGAGGTGATGCAAGGAAGGTAAAAACAAAGGTTGGAGATTTTGTCGAGAAGTGAAAATGGGCGGCAAGAGGACACGTGGCGGAAGTTGATTGGTGGATGGGGGTGGAAGTTCGATCGGAGATGGGTGGAGAGTGGCGGTGTGGGTCAGGTCAAGGAGGAATTAAATGGAGGTGGTCGCATGCGGTTTAATTTAATGAGACGGTCTGGCAATTTGTAGAGAGTCATTAATGGATGGTAGGAAGAGCATTAATGGGAGAGAGAGAAGTAAGACATTTGATGGTGATAAGGGAGAAGAAGAAAGAGTGGTTTTCTCTCTCCCAATATTTATATATCTATTATTCTCTGTGCCTATGCTCAGACAGTGTGGTGGGGAGAGAGGGTTTTAAAAGAGGAAGGTCATAAATGAGCAGAGGATTGGATAGAGGTTGGGGAATGGCATGCAGTACTACTATTATTACTACTACTTCTTCTACTCATTTACCAGCTGAATAGGGTTTTGGCAAATGCCTTGTCTTGCACTTTCTTTATGGCACCGACTGAATCCCCCATGTGAATCCATTGAAGATGATGCAAAACACACATTAATATGAGTTATGGTCTGACCTAGCTCACTCTGTATAGGTTTATGCCCACAGAAGCAAGGCATTTATTGTCGCATTGGGTATGCTGACAAGCAACATTGCTCCGTTCGTTTTAGTTTTAGTGCGTGACTCTGCTGTGAATTCTTTCATCGTCAGATAATTAATGCCATTTATAAGATTTTGAATTTGGAATCTTTTGTGATCAATGCTCTTTCAACTTTTTTATTTTTCAACTCATGGGGGAATTCGCCAACATATACTACATACTCACCTTTTTTTCCAAAAACAAATACCCTGCTGCTATCTTCTTGTAAATATTGTCTTTCTACCAAAACAACAAACACTTTTTTTTTACTTCCCTCTTACTGCCTTAAACACCCTCCTAATCTATATATGTAAATTTGATATTTGCTGTAAATTTCTCTGTTTACCAGATTTTTCATCCAGTTCATCTCAGAGTGTGTGATCTCCATGAATCCATTATTTTCTTCTTTTGACAAAGTAGATCTAAAGACATACACTATAGTCCACCTTTGGCATTTTGGGAACCAACACTGGTAGTAGCATTCTTTTTTATGTCTTTTCCTTTGACCCATAATTAGCAATACTTGTTAACCTCTGTAGCTATCATGAACAGACAACACAGTTACTGTTAACTTCACAATCTGTCTTCAAGCCCAAACCAACTCTTCCGTGAGCTGAAACTGTACAATCCGGCCCAGTAGATTTCAAGTTGGTCCAATCACTCACAGCATACGTGGCCCCGAAAAGGATATGTAATTCATCTGAGACATGCATTGACACCAAGTTAAGAGGTTGTATTATCAGAATTCTGTAATATATGTCTGTAGTGGTCACATGCAGTATTAATCTTGCAGAAAACATTAAAGCTAGCGCAAGAAGTTAGGTGTGGATTTTATTCTGTATAATTTAGATCATCTCACTTGAACGCTCAAATATTCAATTATTTTATACCGACTCGGCCTAATCTGCATTAATCTGTTTGGAAAATGATACTTGAACAATTATTTTTTGACAACATTTAGACACGCGCACACGTGTCTAAATTTGAGTGGTCCAATTGGAAAAATTAAATGAAAATGGATCACTCAAATTTAGACACGTGTGCGCGTGTCTAAATGTTGTCAAAAATGATTGTTCAAGTATCATTTTCCAATCTGTTTTTAGTATGAGCAAAAATGTTTGTTCTGCTATGTAGTATTGGAAAGTTTGAGAATTGACATAGATGTTTGATAAAGGGTCCACAACATCATGTGCTTGGCAATAATGAATATACTATCAAGTTAAAAGCATAGGTTTAGATTTCAAGAAAATGCATGCATTCCTATCTAATGTACGTGAAGGTAGGCCAGTGTCCACTTTCTCACAAGCTCAAATTCAGAGACAAATATATCTTCTGATTATTGAAAATTTAAGGTTACATTAATTTTATATGTTATGTTTTAAATTACAATAATAATAATAATTAAAGTAATAACTAATAATAAATTATCAAAATATTGTGTATATATTAATTTAAATTATTATTAAATATTTTTTATAATGATTTCATGTAATTAATGTGTTAAGTTTGAAATAGATAAATAAATAATTTTGTATAAAAAGAGTCATCGTATATTATCTATAATAAATAATTAAACTTTTATTTCTAATAAATGATTTAATTTTTCAAATAAGAATAGCATATCAGAATGCATAGTGTGACGTTAAAAACAACCGTAGCTATATATTCCTTCTTTATACTATATTCTTTCTCTTCGATTTATTTCAGATGCAAATATAATTTATAATTGGTTAAAAAAAATGTAGGATTACAAAATAATGTGTAATGAACTTGTTTTATCAGTCTAAACTATTTAATTAAATTTGGGTTGATTATTTTGGTCATCACGTTTCTATAAAATAAATTATATTTTCAAAATTGTAATTTTATATAATTTGTAATTAAAATGATTCTAATTTTGAAATAGGACAGAATGAAATCAATAATACATTATGAATGAATTTTATAACATTATATTTTTACTTAGAGTATTAAATATGATTATACTTATTTTATTTGACAACATTTCATGTTTTTAGATAGAGTTGATTTGGGAATATCCAGTCCCATTTCATATTCTGTGAATTTAACTCTATTATACTGTTTAATGCAAATTTAGCGTTGAGTTTAATTTATGGTGAGAAAAAATAACTAAAATCTTAATTATTCAATAGTTATACACTTTTGCAATTTAAGAAAACTATTAAAATTAAATTTAAATACACTTTTGAAAAAAAAGTGAAAAAATACATAAGTAAAAATAAAAATTATAATTAATATTCTTTAACTATAAGTATAAGGAAAATTTTATTTGAAAATAACTTTTAATAATTATTAAAGTTTCAGTGGGCATATTATTAAAAAAATCATAACACAGTTAGTATATATTATTCATTCATTATTATATAAAGAAATTTTTTACATATATAGATTAACTTTTACTAATTAAGTTATAATATTCTAAGAAAAGTATAATTAAATGCAGCAGATTAAAATATAGTTATATCCAGCAATTAGAAGAGCATGATTATGGAACAAATTTCAATTCTTTTGTTTCTAAGTACCATTTCAATTATTGAAAAGTTTACAAAGTGATCGAAACCCTAAATTTAGGGAAAGTTGTAAAATTTTGATGTAATTTACTCATACATGGTATACACAAAGTATCAATACTGTGTTTTTTTAGCAACTTCTCTTAATCAGTAACTCACCAAGCACTAACCAGTGTTACGTAATTATGTTAAAAACGCTGCATCAAAACCCACTAATTAAGTATTCTTCTACTTTTGGTTTTCTTGACAAAAGCTGATAGCAGAAGAAAACTGTAAAGTTGTGTCAATGAGAGATAAAGGAAAGGCATGAGCTTTGCACCAAACTTTGACGGCCAAAATAAATGCAGAAGAAAACACTAAACCCCTTTTCTTTAAAATGTAATGTTAAAATTTATTGCTTCAGCCTTCAGCTCAACCAACTCTTTTAAGGCCATGATCTGTTGTTAAATTCATCTACCATTTTCTCATACCATTCTTTCAGAGGCTTTTGGAGAAGAAAACAGCACCATTTTTTAGCAAGTATATCTTCTGTGCATAATAATGGCTGAGTTGTACACTGTGAAGGTGGAGGAGGCAAGGTTGGAAACTGATAAAAAACCTTCAGCAGGTCCTGTCTACAGGTGCATCTATGCCAGAGATGGTTTGATGGAGCTGCCTTCTCATTTTGAATCTCCATCGGACTTCTTCAGGTCACTTTCACTTTCTTTTTCAACTTTTCCTTTCTATAAACAAAAGGGTTGTCAAAGTTACAAAATTTATGCATAAAGTCTGTGTTTTGATGAAAATTATTGTTTCTAAGATTCAGCTCAAGCTATGTTCTTTCTTCATGTAAAAAAAATGACAAATTAAAAAGCTTTAAACTTCAAAATGGCCCATGCAGGTCTCGAACCTGCGACCTTCGCGTTATTAGCACGACGCTCTAACCAACTGAGCTAATAGGCCAGTTGATATATTGTTTATACTTTAGTATATTGAATCCATTACAAAACAGTGTACACTCTGCTGAGGATTTTCACAAGTGGTAGTGAGTTGTATTTGTGGTGGGGTTTGAGGATTCATTCTTAGTTTCGATGGATTCATGTGCAGGGACACGACCAAGAGGTGTCCCAGCAACCCTATGCTGGGTCGGCGTCAAAAAACGGATTTGAAGGTACCAACTTTAATGTGGTTTTGTTTCTTCTATCATTTTCTGTCAATTTCAGTTTAGTCTTAAGTTGGCACATGCCAACTTTTTGTAGCATAGCTCCTTCTATGTTATTTATATTGAAAAAACTTAAATGCTTATAGGTAACACAGCATCAATGTTCTTCTGAGTATAAATAGAATTTTAATTTGCATAATTAAAAATTCTATTCAATATTAATGCATATTAGTGAGATAAAACTCGAACTAGTGCTAACTAGAAGTTTTTTTTTTGTCCTGGGAGCTAAATTGATAATGAACATACAAGTAAATGACACTGCTAAATTTTTTGAGGCATAGCTTAATAAAATTAAAAAAAAGAAATTGTTGCATTGGGTCAATTGTGCAATTATTGGTTTGATTTTGCAGGCTGGTCCCTATGAATGGATGACATATCAGGAGGCTTATGATGCTTCCATTCGAATTGGTTCAGCCATGAAGAGCCGTGGTGTCAATCCTGTAATCAATCTTGCTTTTTTTAAGATACTATTTATGGAGAAAAATATATTTGCAATTCATCTAACTCTGTGCTTTTATTCCACAAGGGAGACCGATGTGGCATATATGGGTCTAACTGCCCTGAATGGATCCTTGCAATGGAGGTATGACACTGAATTTGGAGGAGAAATTGCACTTAAGCAGTTATCATATTACCTTAATCACAACCACGGACAAAACTAAAATGAGTAGTTATTTTATTCATGAGAAATGCTAAAAGCACATTCTTTCCAGTTAGAGAAGTGCACTTATTATATTTAGGGATGTACACTGGAAATTCATTCAACTATTAAAGATTTTGAGTTTGTAAAGCATGTTCTGCTAGCATTTGTCTCTTTTTCCTAGCTATAATTTGGCAACTAAAAAGTTCACTGACCTTGTTTGTATTATTGTTCTTCACTTAACATCACAAGAGTTGATTATTCCAATGGGACTCGAGTGGCTTGATTCAAATTTGCTGTTTGCAGGCTTGCAATAGCTACGCAGTAACATATGTTCCATTATATGACACCCTGGGTTTGTGTTTTGTTCCTTTTTCAAATCATTCTCAATGTGTTTGCTTTTATTTGTTCAAACCAAAGAAAAACTCAAGAGTTTATCATGTGCCTTTTGTGCTCATGTTGTCGTCCAGCTAGAATGTATCTTTAAATTTACGTCTAACAGGTCCCAATGCTGTGGAGTTTATCATAAACCATGCTGAAGTTTCGATGGCATTTGTACAGGATAGCAAGATTCCTTCTGTAAGTTCCATCATATTCTTGGTGCACACATCTTCTATTGTTTCCTTGGATGAAATTTTATTTTAGTCAGATGCACACACCTTCAACATATAATTGTTTCAGTTAATGATCAACTAGTTTTCTAATAAATCGTAGGATGAGAAAGTAGTTTTCAGTTTTTAAAATGAGTTATATAAATTTACTTTCTAATATTTCTGTTACTTGCTTAAAGCAGTAGTAATCATATATTCTATTCTAAGCTGACAGAATGCTGCACATACTGCTAGCGCTTTTAACATTTCTATTTAGTGTAGTTCTTGTTATATTTTAAGTTATCCATAAGTGTCTTGAAGATAATTAGCTTATTATGTCCTTGTCCTCTTACCCTATTCCTATTAAAGCAAAACCGTTTCCACAGGTTTTGTCATGCCTTGGTCGCTGTTCAAATCTTAAAAGTAAGTCAATTGTGTCTATTTTGTTCCTGTTACTGGTAGTTGGAGGGTTTTTCATCTTTTAATGGTAACAAGCCTCTTTAATTTACTGGTGTAGCTATTGTGTGTTTCGGTAATGTTCTAACTGGACAAAAGAAGGAAGCTGAGGAGCTTGGCGTATCTTGCTTCTCGTGGGAAGAGTTTCTTAAGTTGGTAAGAACCTGAGGAACCTGATTCTTAATTTCATGTTGATGTTTATAATTGAGAGCAATAACCATTTCAATTGAGTAACAGGACAAATATATTTTAATATTTAATTGTGTATGTCATCTTTCCAGGGAGATCTGGATTCAGACATACCACTGAAAAAGAAGACTGACATATGCACAATCATGTATACAAGTGGAACAACGGGTGAACCCAAAGGTGTCATTATTAAGAATGAGGCTTTCATGGCTCAAGTGTTGTCTATTGACCAAATGCTTGAATTAACTGACAAAGCGGTATGATAATAACTTTTCTCACTGATTTCATTTTATATTTTTTTCAAGTCAGTAAAAAATCTGCCACCCCACCCTGTCAGAAAAACTTTTGTTAGTTGTCATTTTTGTTTTCTGTTTATTTGTTTACAATTGAGTGAGAAAAGTAATGCCTGTTCTTGAATTATGCTAGAGAAAGTAAAGCTCATGTAATGTGTTAGTTATATTCTAGTATAAGCTGATGAATGATGAAGAAAAACACTTGTTTATCCTCTTTATATATTGATATGTGCTCACAAAACAGATGAATTATGTATTATTGATAGGGGACAGAAGACGATGTGTACTTCTCTTTCCTTCCTCTTGCTCATGTATATGACCAGATAATGGAGACCTATTGGGTTTATAGGGGTTCTTCAATTGGATTTTGGCAAGGAGTAAGTTCCTTTTATTAAGTTGTGGCTCATTGAATCTCTAATGTTGTCTCACTGAATTTCTTTTTTCATGTCAAATCTTGCAGGATGTCAGGTTCTTAATGGAAGATGTTCAGGTGCTGAAACCAACAATATTTTGTGGTGTCCCTAGAATTTATGACCGTGTTTATGCTAGTAAGACTATAATATTCTCGTACTATTGCTCTTATCTTGGTGTGGGATATAATGTTCTAAGTACTGAATTTAAGCTCTTTGTGCTCTTGTAATTACCATCTAAAATGTTCATTAAGTACTACTGACTATAAGTTTTGCACTTGAAGGCATCAAAAGCAAAATTTCATCTACAGGAGCACTGCGAAGTACATTGTTTCAATATGCATATAGCTAGTATGTACTACAATCATACCTACCCCTTTAAACTTCTACTCTTCTATCATAATTCAACCTAATGCATATTCTACTGACAGCAAGTTGGGATATATGGAGAAGGGTCTTCCCCAAGACAAAGCAGCACCTTTGTTTGATAAGCTTGTGTTTGATAAGGTATGTCATTTTATTCTGTGTCTCTTATTCATAAATTCATTTGAAAATTGAAATATTGGTTTTATGGTAGATAAAACAAGCATTAGGTGGACGCGTTCGTCTTCTGTTATCGGGAGCTGCTCCTTTGGCCAGGCACGTGGAGGAGTTTTTCAGGGTTACTTTTGGAGCTACTATGCTGCAAGGATATGGTAGTTGAATCTTTTGCTAAAACGTACTGGTGGATTGTTTTACGCCATTTTAATGACAACTGTTCAATACAATATTTTAAGAAATGGTTCAGTTATGTTAATCTGTTGCACAATTTTGGCATGTTTTTCTTTTTTGGTTCTTAAATGCATTCTATAGCAGTTTTCACATGTTAATCCTAATCAATTTGATTATNTTTCTAATATTTCTGTTACTTGCTTAAAGCAGTAGTAATCATATATTCTATTCTAAGCTGACAGAATGATGCACATACTGCTAGCGCTTTTAACATTTCTATTTAGTGTAGTTCTTGTTATATTTTAAGTTATCCTTAGCTTATTATGTCCTTGTCCTTTTACCCTATTCCTATTAAAGCAAAACCGTTTCCACAGGTTTTGTCATGCCTTGGTCGCTGTTCAAATCTTAAAAGTAAGTCAATTGTGTCTATTTTGTTCCTGTTACTGGTAGTTGGAGGGTTTTTCATCTTTTAATGGTAACAAGCCTCTTTAATTTACTGGTGTAGCTATTGTGTGTTTCGGTAATGTTCTAACTGGACAAAAGAAGGAAGCTGAGGAGCTTGGCGTATCTTGCTTCTCGTGGGAAGAGTTTCTTAAGTTGGTAAGAACCTGAGGAACCTGATTCTTAATTTCATGTTGATGTTTATAATTGAGAGCAATAACCATTTCAATTGAGTAACAGGACAAATATATTTTAATATTTAATTGTGTATGTCATCTTTCCAGGGAGATCTGGATTCAGACATACCACTGAAAAAGAAGACTGACATATGCACAATCATGTATACAAGTGGAACAACGGGTGAACCCAAAGGTGTCATTATTAAGAATGAGGCTTTCATGGCTCAAGTGTTGTCTATTGACCAAATGCTTGAATTAACTGACAAAGCGGTATGATAATAACTTTTCTCACTGATTTCATTTTATATTTTTTTCAAGTCAGTAAAAAATCTGCCACCCCACCCTGTCAGAAAAACTTTTGTTAGTTGTCATTTTTGTTTTCTGTTTATTTGTTTACAATTGAGTGAGAAAAGTAATGCCTGTTCTTGAATTATGCTAGAGAAAGTAAAGCTCATGTAATGTGTTAGTTATATTCTAGTATAAGCTGATGAATGATGAAGAAAAACACTTGTTTATCCTCTTTATATATTGATATGTGCTCACAAAACAGATGAATTATGTATTATTGATAGGGGACAGAAGACGATGTGTACTTCTCTTTCCTTCCTCTTGCTCATGTATATGACCAGATAATGGAGACCTATTGGGTTTATAGGGGTTCTTCAATTGGATTTTGGCAAGGAGTAAGTTCCTTTTATTAAGTTGTGGCTCATAGAATCTCTAATGTTGTCTCACTGAATTTCTTTTTTCATGTCAAATCTTGCAGGATGTCAGGTTCTTAATGGAAGATGTTCAGGTGCTGAAACCAACAATATTTTGTGGTGTACCTAGAATTTATGACCGTGTTTATGCTAGTAAGACTATAATATTCTCGTACTATTGCTCTTATCTTGGTGTGGGATATAATGTTCTAAGTACTGAATTTAAGCTCTATGTGCTCTTGTAATTACCATCTAAAATGTTCATTAAGTACTACTGACTATAAGTTTTGCACTTGAAGGCATCAAAAGCAAAATTTCATCTACAGGAGCACTGCGAAGTACATTGTTTCAATATGCATATAGCTAGTATGTACTACAATCATACCTACCCCTTTAAACTTCTACTCTTCTATCATAATTCAACCTAATGCATATTCTACTGACAGCAAGTTGGGATATATGGAGAAGGGTCTTCCCCAAGACAAAGCAGCACCTTTGTTTGATAAGCTTGTGTTTGATAAGGTATGTCATTTTATTCTGTGTCTCTTATTC